ATTAAATGAAATTAAAAAATTATCTTGAAACGAGTGAAGGAGAGCATAGCAACATGTCTGCCTTCATTACAAGTACTAAGCAAACTTTGATTAATTGTTTAAGTTAAGTCAAGCCGTATTTTCTCTTTTCTTCTTGTGCTTAGTTTTTGTTGAAAGATAAGTTTATTTCATGTCAAAGTCAAACAAATAATTTATTTATACTTATAAAAATTTGGAATTACGTTATCACCAAGGCATAAAGAAATATGAAAGGAAATTTGCGATATTTTGTACCACACAACTTGGTGAGTGCGATACTTTGCGAAAATTCAGCTCCGCGATTTTATGTATCTTTCTCTCTAAGGAAAAAAAAAAATGTACACAATCGTTGACTCAAAAGTTTAGCAAATATAATAACTACTATTCAACTTTAGTGGCTAGCTAATCATTTTGAAGTTCAAAGGTATTTTTCCTTTGCTCACATTGAATACAAAAACATTGAAGTATGAGTAAGTATGATGAATGTAGATTATCTAACAATATCTGAAAATAAACTATCGGCAGAGCCGATAGCCTGTGTTGCTAGTGCTCAATGTCTTTTTTTTTAGTCTAAGAATTCATTTCATTAGTCTAAAATTAAAATAATAATAATAATAATAATAATAAACTATCGGCAGACATGCGTGCATTTCAGACCGATATCAGCATTAATTTATAAATAATTATAAAAAATTATAAAAAATAACTAATTTATAAACAGTAAAATAAATATTTTAAAATTTTTTTTTACGTATACATATAGAGAAAAAGCACAATTGCATAAAATTTCCTTAACAAATTGTTAAATTTTTTCTTTATTAAGACATATATAACCCAAATATTACCCGGAAATTCAGAAAACATCATATAAACATTGCAAAATGGAAGCAATAATTGAAGCATTCTTTTGTTTATGTCAAAAATTTACATCTGTAAGCATAGTAAAATATGTTGAACATATTTTTAAATTTTTATTGTATAAAGTGGGTAAGAACACATCTTAAATAAATCGCATGCGTTGACGAGAAGGAGGAAGAAAATATTCCTTTTTTATTTGCTTTTCATATTGATCTATACAGTTAAGACAGTTTTCTTCGCGAACCGAAAAATATTATACTTTTCAGTTATTTAAAACGAAAAATCTTAAATCCGAGCTTTGAAGGTGAGCATTTTAAAAAGACTTCCAAATTTTTCCGGTCTGAAAACGATAAATTGCTTAATTTGGAGTTGCATACTCACATTCCGAAAGGAAATTGCATGCTTTTGAAGATTTTTCTTTATATTTATATAAAGATAAAAAAAAAATATGGTCCTTTTTCCACTTCTCTGGTGAACAACAATCCTATTAGCAAACAATGAATGCTGAATGAATGAATGCATAATAAATGACAATTTTCTTGCTTTCTTTTAGTTTCTGTTTTATTCCCTCACATAAAACGTATACTGGCGCCATTGAAAATGGAGAAAAACGAAATACAAGAATATAAAGTAGAACAAAGTTATATATATATAGACATGAAGCTACAATTATACGCATATATATGTATGTATAAAAAGAATTGTTGAATGGAAGTGACGGTATATATGTTCAGCTTATGCCGTAGTACGTTGTATGGCAACTGTAAATAGCCATAACGGAAACGGAAGTACAACTAGAAAATTATAAAACAACCTCATATAAAATGTTGTTTGCAAAACACTCTCTCAACATTTCAACTGGGACACAATATTTGCACAATACTAAGCATATACACAAGATATAAATGTTGCGTCCACAACAGCCTTGTGCTTCAATACTCCACTACGAGGAGGAGTAAAACAGACTATCATAGCTACATGTTAAAATATCGTGAATATAATAAACACACATGATTCGGAACGTCACATATACCATGATATGCTACTTGAAAACTCTTTCATACTCTGGAGATTTATAATGGCACAAAAAAATTTTAATAATAGAGGCTAAACAATTCTGAGACAAATATTAAAGCGAGGAGAAGAATACGTTGCGGTTAAACGTTGTCCAGTAACTATACGGGCTAAAAAATATGACGAGAGGGGTCAAGAGGAAAAACTAAATATAAATTATAATTTGCCCTCTATAGACAGACGTTTATACGGCAACATAGAGTACTGATGGTTTTCAAACAAAACCAGACAATTGATATTTATTGAAAATGAATAAAAAGGGGTTTTCCTCGTTACTGTGCACACACGAACTTGATGCGATCTAATGGTAATGCGTTCAACAGTATTTGTTGTTAATTTGGAATTTAGTTTTTATGTTGTTTACAGACGACTAAATAAATAGCGGTTAAATTATGCCCTGACGCAACGATAGGTAGGGATAATGAGCCAATTGCAGCTATACACGGGAATAAAACAAAAATTTGTTTTTCATAAATGGGATCTATAAATTTTAATTTATTGAAAAGATCCTACACGTACCACCGCTAGAGAATTTTATGTTGAACTTACAATTCAAATTTGGAGGCAATCGAACGAAGAGGACCGGTGAGAAAGAGAAAGAATTGAAGAGGGCGAAAGTCAAATTCAGATTGCGGCCATATTTTAAATATCAAATTCATTTTGTTTTTGTTAGTTGTACTCGGCGGTTGACTAACTTTCGACTCCTTTTGGTGATATTATATGAGGTCGTTGGTTTATAGCAATAAATACATGTTTATTCACTGTTTAGAATATATATTGGTACAATTAGATCAGATTTAGTGAAGAGAAACTGGTGGAGAAACATGACTTCATCGCGTTCGGTTTTGTAAGAAGAGACTTGACGGCTGTTTAAATAGTCAACGTAAACAACATCGAATATATTTCACTAAAAAACTGTCTAAATTTTCCTATTATTTTTTAATTTCAAAAAATCGTATCACACTGAAAAATCCTACGTATTTAAAGAACATCATTTCCTTCGAACATTCTGACTTTCAAATTAAAATTTTTGTTGTTGTTCTTAATTTTTAAAATTTTCGTTGACAATATTTTCGCTGAACTGAAAGTATATCAATATTGCATTATCAATTAAGCAATATTTCACATCATTTTGTCATCAATATTGATAAACTACTGTAAGTGAAAGAAAGCTATTATTTTATTATAGCGACTCTCTGTATCATCACTAACGGACTAAGTTAATCTTCATTAAAATTCAGAGCTGAAATGTTTATGCATATAATTAAATTGACAATTTTTCTTTATAGACACCCACCATCCATACACGCAAACACCACACTATAATAAATGCCCGTAAGTTAAGCGAAAGCATTCTGTATGTAAGTAAATATAGGCTAGAGAGAGCAAGCAGATGTCGCAACTCCATATGCAGTGCGTACTATGCTATATACTGTAGAGGAGAATAAAGTGAATGTTAATTGTATGATTGCATGCGTGCACATGTGCTCGTATTGATTGAATTGTTCCTACATAAACTGTTATGTCGCCATATGCAGTGTTGTTGAATGGATTTTGTGATTATCACATGGCGAATAACATGTTTGGTATATGCTTCACTATTTCCTTCGAAAAATACACTCATCTTCATGTACGCTTATATACAACGTGAGTTTTGAACAATGAAATATTAATGCCTTACAAAAATTAACTTAAAAGCAACAGCAACAGCGTTAATGTTTCCAAGTTGGTCAAAGGAATGCTTATAGAAACGGTTTCTATTGTTGTTGTGGTCGTTATAACGCCGAAATGTCTTGTTTAACTAACGCCTGAAATGAGTGGTGGTTAGGTAAGGCTGTAATAATGGTGATGATGCCGTTTGGTTATGCTTCCTTGACCACAAAGTGTATATGTAAAAATAAGATCACCCATGACAAAATCATATGTAATGTATCAAGTTCAAATTTAACAAATACGCAAAATGAGACAGAATTTGCCGGGAGCAGGAATTGCTCACATTAATTAGCATCTTACAATCTCCTTACAAATGGCTGATGGCGATGACGAGTAACGCAAGCCAGTTACTTTAATTTATATGTAATTACATGTTGTCACATAAAAAAACTAGTGATCGACGAAAAAATATCAAAGCGTCGTTATAGGGGTAATTATTATAACCGAACACTAACCCATCAAACGCCACATAAGTAGTTTGGGCATGTCTTACAGCGATAGCTGCAAAAACGGGGTTTTTACATAAAACTCTTATAAAGAGCGGCAGAGTTGTAAAATTCAAAGCAATCCAATTGGATTCGTTATATGTTTTTACGCGATCGCAGCTATAGGCGAAAAATGTAGAATTTTCGAATTTTTCTCTCTTTCTCTTGATAATTCAGCCCTCAACTAAATTTAAGCGATCGTCGGCAGATCCAAAGTGAGTTGCGACATAAACGACACTTTTGATAGTTTTTAAGACAAAGTAAACACAAAACGAAAGCTTCTCTGTTGACTGATCCCTTCATGGGCTTACAAGAAAAAAAGTTATCATCAATTTTCGTCTAATCTTAAAAAGAAAGAATGCCAAATGTTCTTTAAGCATTCTTATCGTCAAATCAAATTTTCTTATGACACAGAATATTTCATCAAAATAAAAAAGGCCCCTTGAAACAAATATCTGCTAGAGCAAACATATTAAGTTTAATTCAATAACTTGAAACTGATGAAGGCCTTTATGTGTAAACCCGCAAAGTTATTGTAACATTTTATACTAGCCAATATAAGTGGAAAGACAACACATAAGCGGCAGCTCGGAGAGAATAGAACATCAGCACATGTCATTATGAAGGAGAATCTTATCAATTTAAAAACTGATAGATGCCTTTCAATACTTTGTTATGATAATTAGAAATCAAATTGACGTCTAAGTGAGGGAAGTGGGGGAAGTGGGGGGAAAGGGAGGGGAGCAACGATAACGCATAAGCATAATTGTTTTAATGAATCAATTTGCTGAATAGCATCTCCTTTCTAAGTATAATTAAAACACTTGCTGGGGGCTTTTAGTCGATAGCGTGAGCTCGGATTGTAAACATTAGAATTCAATCAAAAGATTATTTTCGGAAAAAACAGATAAGAGATTTCAATGTTTTCCATAAAAATTATTATTTTGTTTGTAGTATTTTGCTTGATTAAAGTAAGCTTCTAGTTAAAAAGTGTTTAAAAATTTTTTTACATACGTTGTAATTATAAAATCTCTTTTAGCCTAATGGAGCTGGTGTGATAAAGCGTTCGTTGTTTAGTGATGATATTCAAAAAGAATTTGAACAACACATTCAATTAGAAACCGAAACTTTCTTGAATAACATTTTTAAAAGTCAAATCAATTATTTTAATAAAGTTAAACTGTCCTTGCCGGATAATTGCAAACGTGTTAGCGATATTGAAACCTATGTACACAAGTTGGAAACAGCCATCGAGGAGAAGAATGTAGAGAAAAAGGACAATATTTATTTGGAAACTTTTCAATCGGTAAACAATATGAAATTTGCCTGAAATGTAATGTCTCGGCTCATAAATATTTCCTCTTTTTTTTTTTTTTGCTGTTCTACAAAGATGGGTCGAACCCCCTTATTGCTGAATAAAGAATACGACACCGGTATGAGTGACGAAGAATACCAAAAAATCCTTGAAGATAACGATCTTAATGATTTTATGAAAAATTTCTTAGTAGAGGTAGCCGTGTATTTCTGGAAAATGGCCAAGGCCAGCGGTAAAGCTGTCGAAACTAGCATAGATGACTATCTTGAAAATATAAAGAAACGTAATAATTTATATTGAATTGTTTACTAAAAGCAAAGTTTAGTCGTAGTTTGAAAAATGTGATAAGGATTTGAAAAAAAAGAAAGTATATTTGAAAGTTTACAATTAATCAAAGCAACTACAAAGTAATATTGAATCCTCTCAGAGAGCAAATCGATGGCTTTTTAAGCGCATATAACACCAGAAACTTACGAGTGGAAAATCGCTATGAATTCTTTTCTATAAATTGACAACATTGCACTGACGTTACCGCAAACTATTAGTTTTTTTTTACGCACATATTTACATTTTTGCACATTTTTTTATACATTTACAATCATACATTTAGATTCGCACTGATTTTTTTTAATTGGAAATGTTAGTTGAGCAAATAATATATCGGTCAACGAATTCCGGGAATGAGTAAGAAAAAACAAAATATGTTTGTAAATTCGTCTTTATTTATCGCCTTCAAGAGCGAAACAACAGTCTAACGCTTCTCTTCTTCTTTTTCATAAAATCGCCTATCCTTGCAATTACAATCCCATCTTTAAATCATTCTTTTAAAATTTGCTTTGCCAAACTTTTTTTCTTTGTAGACATGTTCAAGGGCAATCTGCGTTCACTTTTCGAACCAATTAAGTGCTGAATATAATGAATGTTGCACCATTTGATCCGAATTTGTAGTCGCAAGCGTTCCGACAGCAAAGTCACTGAGAAGTTATTTCAAAATATGAACTTGACAAAGCGGTGTAATAACATTAATACTACCTATGGATTGTATTTCGTATATGACGTCTACAAAAGTTAACTAAACCGCATTTTTTCTATTAAATCTGAGAAAGAGAGTCTTTTAATAATAAATTCGACCACATTTTTCTCTAAATTCAAAAACACATTGTCGGAATATAAGCACAACCGAGTAGACGTGAATTTTTACGGCTTGAGTGTACACATACACAGACATACTGTAAAAAACTGGCATATGTCATGACAGTAATGAAGAAAATACAAAAAGTGTAAATATTTTTCCCATTTTTTTATTTGCGCCAGTGAGTGCAAAAATCCTGCAAAAAATAATAACTGAATGGAGAATTGTGTTCTCAGTTTGTTTGTATTTTTCGTAAATTACATACAACTACAACCAAAACTACATGCGATTCTAACTTAGCAATTAATATAATGGTATCGGAGATTTTAGAGGGAAAAAAAAGAGACGCAGAGAAAGGGAAACTAGTAGTCTGAAGTGACTGGAAATTTCAATTCATTGCCCATTCGGTGAGGGATCATTTTTGTTGCTATGTGTTATTCGCAATGCTAGCCTTCGACATACGTTTTACCGATTATATTGAACATTTACTTGTTTAATGGAGTTATGATAAATTAAAGGATTAACAGTAGACACAAATAAAATGTAAATTAATTTTCTGTAGTAATTTGTTTCAAAAAATACATAAATGGAATTATTTATATGAATCAACTGAAGCCTAAAGATTGATAACGCGGCGGCGAGGGCGAAAAGAGATGATTATCTCTATAAATGATTTAATTTGTTCATAATAAATTACTCCGTAGCCTCGAAAGATACGCTTTAAAAATTTAAAATTAAATTGTAATGAAAAATATACTTTAGTCTCTAAAATATTTAAGAATATTTGTCAAAATTTAATTTTATATAACTTTAGTAAACCTTAGTATGAACTTAAATATACATATATTTTTCCGCAGATTATTTTGTCTTAACTTTCGACATTAGGAATTATTTTAAATAAATGGCTTCTTTGAGGATAGCAATATTTTTGGTTGGTTGACGTGCGGCTTAAAAAGTTTACCACAGAGAGAGAGATAATCACAAAGACTTGGTTAAATAGTTTGCCCAGTACCTACATAAAAACGTTGATGACTTTGCTATGCTTCATAAAGTTGAAGTGGCATATTAAGATCTAATAAACGAAAGACGAAAAGTCAATAAGATAAACAAAAGCAAAAAAAAAAAAAGAGCAGCATGTCAAATTATTAAAGTAAATAAATAAATAAAATAATGTACGAATATTGTTATTGTTATATTTATTATGAAAGTCATTTTTTTAGAGTAAAGAGGTAAATTGTAGGACTAAAGTAGAAAAAGCACGGGTAACTAGCACTTACACTAGCAACACTAGCTTAGTTAATTTAAAAAATTTGTAAATTTAAATTAAACGAAAGAAAGCCGGCTTTATCGACAAAAAAACATTTTAGGCAACTTAAAATTTCCTAGAACGCGATTTTAAAAATTTGGAAATGTGTGTGTGTGTGTGTGTGTGTGTGTGTGTGTCTAGTGTAAGATGCAACTTTAAATAAAACTAAATTCCAATAACACAAATATCAATAAATCTCAAGCTGAGTTATGTATGGTAAACATTAACCAACGGGGAATAGAGGCGATGACTGCGTAGTAGAGCACCTGAAATGCAATAAAGCTATAAACTGCTAAAGCATTTGCATAAGAATACATTCATATTGCAGATGAAAACTGTCAATTTGTTTCGTTACCAGACATTACTATCGAAGCAAGACACTGGGCGACAAAAGAAAGAATTTACAGATTTCAGAAATAACTGGAGACAGATTTATGTGCAGAAAAAAAGAAAGGAAAAGCAGTTAGTAATGAATGCCAAATTTAAAAAATGCTTTCTTACAAATTTATAAAGAAACTTCGCATTTGAATATGATTTTGTGTCGAAGAAAAAATTTTTTTATTAAATTTTTCTTTTCTTATTTTCATTTCACAAATTTCACTTTTACTTTAAAAGTAAAGGCTTTGTTAACTTATCTTTCTCTTCGTTCGCAAATAGAAAAAAAGTATGTGTTCTTTAGCTTGTCACATTCATTACAAAAGGTACATTAAATTTTCGAAATGTTTGTAACATAGAGATATGTACACAGCGTAAGACCGTATAAAAACATAATATATACACGATATATATACGGTTCGCACAGAATTAAACGATCTTCATAACGTATAATGATTAGATTCTCTAATGATTAGATCTAATGGCAACAGTCAAATAGCGTCTACCAACCATCGATGGTTACTAAAAGACTCGCTCTAAGCCGAATAATACCTCTTCCCGGCTTTTCATTTTTTTCTTATTTTCTTCTATTTTTTAATATCTCTAGTGTGTAATAAAATATACTCGTTACGTCATAGTCAGGAAAATAAATGCCCCGTACCTCATCAAGCAAAGTTGAGCTCCATAAAATTCATTTTTCTCATGTGTTGCTGTGAGCATAGAAGCAGACATACGCAAATATACGTTTACTGTTCATAAAAATTCTCTAAAGTTTTTAGTATATGTGTACATTAGAAAAAAAGGATATATAACCTCAAGCCACTTGCCTGCTGAGTATCTCCACTACCAGAGAGAAGACGCCTTATGCTGAGAGAACATCGAGAAGAACAGGGTTTCATGTGTTTCATATAAAGATATTTTCATACACTCTTACGTTAAAGAAATAAAATGAAATAAATGAAATAAATGAAATAAAATGAAATATTATTGCTATCGTATAAGTAGTAAAAGCAAAAAGTGAATGAAAATTATTTTATAATTTTCTAAGACAATAATATAAAAAATTCTGCATATTTTCAGGAGAAAGTAGTCAGAAAATATAAGACATACTTCAAGGAAAAAGAAAACACGGCCGTGTATTAAGGATTTATACAAGGAAACCAAATATAAAATTTAATTTAATTTCTATTTATCTCAGCCATTTATACATGAAATTAAACTAAAGAAAATTACAGTCGAATTCACAAGAGCAAATCTTACACTAATTGTTTTAAAAACTACTATACAATAAGAAGGAAGATAAATAGAAGAATAATAATAACAAAGTAAGTAATTCATGTATAAATAAATAAAAAGAGAGAAAAAAAAAAGAAAAAAGCATGTACGCAGCTAGCACAGAAGCGCAACCGCAACAAGGACAGATGCAGGTTGCAAGTGAACCCCTGAAACATTGCAAACATGCAAAAGCTTGGCAACCGCCATGTTAACAACACAATATTATTTTAAATAAAAAAAGATATTAAGAATGAAATGTTAGTTTAAGTACGACATAAGTAACTCGCGCTCCTTAAGCTAAGCTGCTTCGATATACTTTAAAGAATCCGATAATGAGAATAAGTGACAGACATCATTCAGATTTCTGCAAACAACTCTGAGCGGGTTCAACAGTTCGTAGTTGTGTTTACATTGACCAAGCTTAATCAAGATAAAGTGCCTAGAGAAGCGGTTAGGGACTTTAAAGCTTATCTCACCAAGTAATGCTGGCGAGTTAATAGTACCATTTGTTACTTTGATTAAGAAGGAAACCCCCAGAACAAATCTACGTTTCTCAAGTGACGGTTAGGATGATAGAAGCAACATATCTCCATAAGGGGGAAGAGAAGCAATCGGGTCCCAACAAACATTCCTAAGGGCAAAGGCAAGAATTGCTTTTGAACAAATTCAATTGAATCTACATAGCACCTATATGAAGGAGACCGCACAACAGAGGCATACTCAAGTATAGGTCTAACCAAACACACGCGCAGCCTTTTCGTAATATACGAATTATCAAGCTCGTTGGACCACCTCTTTATAAAACCAACCGCGGACCGACCTTTGCTAAAGGGGAGCTCAATATGCAAGCTAAAATCTAACCTGTGGTCATATAGAACGCCTGAATCTGAAAGCGAACCAACTTGTGCGAATCAATGAAATACTGAGCAATGAATGACTTCCTTCTTGAGAAAGAAAGCTTCTTATTTTTATATAGGATTAGTTTCATAAGATTCAACGAGCACCATGCAAACAAATTATTCAAGTCAATTTGAAGCTGATGTGATTGCGATTCTACGGAAAAGAAAGAAAGCAGTTTCATATTATCAGCATACATGAAGATATCACTCGAGTTAATCATGGACGGCAAATTATTAATGTATAAATTAAATAAATTGGATCCTAAGTGGCCACCTTGAGGTACGCCAGACGTCACGGGGAATTCATATGAGGTAATGAAGTTAAACAAAACCCTGAATGGTCTATTGTGCAGATAAGAGCTTATCCATTTCACTAAATAGAAAGGGAAGCCAGAGACTTGGAGTTTAAAGGTAAGTAGACAAACACTAGATCAAACACTTTGCTAGAAAAAGTCTTGAAAACATGACAAGTAAACTCTAATAGATTAGGTAACCATTAGCCTTGCAGTCTATTGAACTAAATGATCGAATAATTCATTAAAGAACACAACAGCTCTATCAGATGTTGAAGTACAAATCAAACAACCAGAACTATCACTGTAACATCAAGTGACTTGAGACAAATTGAAGTCATCCAACACAATGACTATATCGGTAGGTTTAGATTGCTTGGCCGCCTCAAAATGAGGAGAGAAAGAAAACTCTGACAGCTATGTAGTTTTGAAAGGAATCGCTGACTTTTTCTCTGATTAAATTTAAAAATTTACAAATATTGTTTAAAGATTCCGAATTTTAGTTTTGTGCATAAAAAAAAGCAAAAAGGAAAACAAATAAAAGAAAAACACTTAACGCTTTCATAATAATTCTCATTACGATTTTTTGCAGTTAGTGCAAACATGTAAAGAAAAAAAATTTTATTCAACTTCAAAACTAAAGCAAAACAAAAAAAAAATTTCGATACTTTATAATATTAGGTTGGCGTGACCAATTTTTCGTATATTAATGCAGATCGTCCACAGAGTGTATCCGGGAATGTTTATCGTTGTATTCGATGTAATTGACGAGTAATGGGAAAAGAACTTTTTTTTGCATTTTTGGAAACGCTAGTGTTTTCAGTTTATGTCCCAACGTAAAAGAATTCTTCGATACATTTGGCCCCGTTTCAAACCTAATGCACCTATGAAGTCTCAATGTTTTTGCCGAAATTTAGAACTGATATCGTAATTTTTACGATCCGGAGAATGTTTATCACAGGTCTTTACGGGGACGGACACACGGGCAAACATGCCTAAATCAATTACATAGATAAATACGAACACTACAGTTTGGCAAGGCCGACCATTAAACGCACCACAAAACTTTACCTAATAAAGTCGTGCATATATTTTCGTGATAAATTGCCAAAAATTATACTTCGTTTTCATGTAAATGTACGCTTTTCAAGAAAGCTCTTATCCAAAACGTGGACTAACGTGCTTCAAATACCGTAAAGTTGATTTTCTTTCCAAAGATCTTATCATCCGTCGCCAATGTCCGTTATAAAATACTAAATATTAGGCTTCGCTGTATTGCCCGGAGATCTTTGAAAACTGCAAATTCTTTTGTCGTATAATTTTTTTAAAGCAGAACGTTTTATGGGTAGTGAATGAAAAAATTTCTCGATGCGATCGATTACTCATAAGACTATCTCTTAGGTCAAAACACGTCAAAGCACCGGTGACTAAACAACGTCAAAATATACCGTTAATTGCGGTATTTAGGCTGAACATAAAAATATATGTGCAAACAGACAAACGTACAGGCAGACTTGAATCGATTAAAAAAATTATTCTCAACCGATTGGTCTAAGAAAAGGTGGATATATCTTGAAACTTTCCAAGTCTTTCCAAGTGATGCAGTGTATATACCAAACTAAACAAAGTCAAAATACATAATATTAAGACTTCATCTGTTTGGTTCTGCTCGCAACTTAAGACACAATCGACGTTCGCAGAATCGTTTGTATTCGTCACTTTTGTCTTTACAAAAAGAAGTAAAAAAAGAAAAGAAATTGATTGATTCATATTTTTACAGGTGCCACAGAACTGCCCATAGGCGTTTTCTTAATTTATGTTCTGCAATGGATACGTGTTCCGCTCGATATGGACCCTTTTTTATAGCAATTTCCCTGTAAGAAATTTTAAAATTTCTGCCAAATGTGAGAATAATTATGACAGACAGGCAAGCACACGAACAGATAGATG